ACGCTCACCTATGCGCTTCACTCTGTGCATTGGTCCGAGCGGCTGCGGAAAAACCCGCTATTGTATGGCCAGAACAGGCAGACAACCCCACCTGGTCTTCCACTACTCTGGCAGCGATCGAGGCTGGCTTGATGGATACCTGGGTCAGCCGTGCGCCCTGTTTGATGACTTTGACGGATCTGAGCTCAACGCGAGAAAGCTCCTCCGGATGTTGGATCGTAACGAGCTGCGGGTGCCGGTTAAAGGTGGACTTGTCAACTGGAACTACCGTGATCTGTTCGTCACTTCGACGCTTGATCCCGATGATTGGTATCGCCATGATGTACGAGGTGATCGGACAATAGGTGAACAGATGATGCGTAGGGTTACTCATTTGCGTGATTTTACTGTCACCCCTTGGGGACTTATGGATGATCATATTGTTCCCGATGCTCACATTGCTGCTCTTTACTTCTTTACTCCCAGTTGCACCCTTTACGTTTTGTTTGTTTGTTTGTTTGGCTTTATTTAGAGACGTATGCCTGATGTTTTTGTTCCGCCCGATACCTGCACTCTTAAAGATCGTGCTCCCCTTCTGGTTTCTGCATGCACTGAATATGTGTTTGATGACACTGTATGGCGTCTTGCTGCTCCTAATGTTTGTCCTTTTTATTAAGCTTACATGCGCATGGTTTTCCCTGGTACTTGTGTTGAGGATGGTATCGTTGATCCTCCTGCTCCTATAGATGCTGCTGATTATCTTCCCTCTGCTTTGGACTTTTCTGATGATGATTGCCCCTCGCCCATGGTTAGACCGCATTTTAGCTTGCCAGAAAATGCTTTTATTGACACTCGCTCATATGTACAAGATTATGTGTCAAGCGGCGCTGGTGCCGAGTGTTATTCCTCTGGTTGATTAGAAGTCCATAAGAGCGTCGGAACTGGCGCGGTGTGCTGGAGTTTGGCATGGGGTTGGAACTGGTCCTCCCTCATTATAACGAGTCCAGTTAGTACATAAACCCCGTTAGTAAATAGAAATCTGAAATCCCCTGGCGAAACGTGGTCTATACAACTGTTTACAGGTCCGGTTACAACATAATCCGTTAGTACATAAAATTCGTTATAACAACCCTTTGCCCAGGTCCCTGGAGTGCCAAACCCTCAGTATAAGTAAACTATAAGATCATACTGACCATGCAGGACCAAGGCCAAAACACGTAGGATAAAGCAGAAAGACGAAACGTAATATATCTATGTATTCGTGAATATGGACGATCCTTTGCATCCAAGGAAGAGTTATGTTGGAGATTTTTCTATTATCTTATAACGAGTCGAAGCTTCTATAATTTATGTTGTATCGAGGGTAGCCTCGGTAAGTACGAAGTAGTGCCTATTTCACCTTTACCTGCAAGTCCTGCTACACGATGAGTCTCGTTATAAGATAACTTTTTTCGATGGCCCAGAGATTATCTACTAACGTCGGAGGACCTGTACCACTCAGGACTGAAGCACCGGGATTTCAGGTGGTCCGGCTTAATAGGATACTTGACCAGAAATGACAATATATCTACCAGGGACTAACTGGTTTCAACCAAGAGTACACCCCCCCCCCCCCCCCCTCTTGATCTAGCGTAGTCGGATCTTCTGATGTCATGCGTACACTCCACATCAGCGCAAGGCCGGTCTCGTGGCAAGGCACCTGTATTTTTGACACGAGAGTCCCCGCTACTCCCCGGATTCCCCTCAGATGTGTGCGGTATTATGACGCAAAGATCCGACTACGCTCAACCAAGACCCTATGCAGAGCTGGATCAGGCGTTGCACACTCTGGGGGCTTGTGTACTCTTGTTTCAACCATAGATCAGCCGGTATCAGCTTCCATGAATTGGGTAGGTAGGGAAATCTTTTCGAAATACAGTGGTTCTGCCATCAGGAGCGGATCCAGTGGGTTCCACTGGAACTCGCGAAACCCTCAGATTCTTCCAGAAACACTACACGATGATGTAAGCATGATCAATTTTTTTAATGAAACATTTGTCGCATGCATTTTGCACGCCGCGAAAGTTTATCGCTTTACAGTATCCCACTATGTAGCAGTAAGGTACTATCCCACTATGTAGCAGTGAGGTACTATCCCACTATGTAGCAGTGAAGCTTCTGGAGCAGTCTAATAGTGATGTTGTGAATAGGAGAAAGGCTGTGCAGGCTGCTTACTCGCCATAGTACTCCTGTGCCGCTGATGCAGACTGACGAGAGTGCTGGATTTCTTCATAGCCAACGTGTTAACAGCCGATGCCGTAGGCGTACAGGGTGAACTGAACGTGGAACCTAAACCGAATGCACACACGTGGACATGCACACGTGCACACACGCGGGCAGATACACACACACACACACACACACACACACACACACACACACACGCACACACAGACGTGTTTACTACAGTCACTAAAAGGAACAATAATGTGGAAAGATGGCGAGGGGGGAGGGGAGGGGGGGGGGGGGGGGTAGGTGCCAGAGTGTACAATGTAGGTGTTCCATATCTGGTCTAACAAAAGGCTTCTGGCCAACGAAAATAACCTGTGCCCTGTGTCCACTAATAAGATTTTTGCACAACCCACCTGGAACCGGACTGGACTCCGAGCTCAGCACCTCCGCTAAGCTGTACACATCATCGAACTCCGGGCCGGGTGCAATGCGACACTCCTCAAGCAGGCCGAACAGCCGCATCTGCAGCTGCGGCAGCTTGAAGTCTTCCGGATACTGGTCCAGCCAGACGCGAAGTACGGACAGCACAGACCTGACCACACAGAACACCATACGGAACAGTATAGCACTGTGAATTTTGAATTTTTTTTTAGGGAAGGGACTCGAAATGCTACCTAAAGTATTGGACGACCATGCTATCCTGAGGGATCTTCCTACACCCCTGGATCCACATGACGAGGGTCATCATCACAAACCCATCACAAACCCATCACAAACCCACCACAAACCCATCACAAACCCATCACAAACCCATCACAAACCCATCACAAACCCACCACAAACCCATCACAAACCCATCACAAACACATCAGAAACCCATCAGAAACCCATCACAAACAAGGGCCAGTGTGTCTGTGTACCGTATTCCCCTGATTATAAGTCGCACTCGATTATAAGCCGCACCCCCATTTTTAGGTTAGGGCAATATTGATTTGATAGATTGACTTCAATAGTAACTCACACTCGATTGTAAGTCGCACCCCTATTTTTACCCTTGAATTTTAATGTAAAAAGGTGCGACTTATATTCGGGGAAATGCGGTACGTGAAAACAAAACCAGACGTACGCGCAGTGCGCCTGTTTTCAAGATCTGGCAAGCTTGCATCCAAACTGGCGTTGGCTTTGTGCCAGATGCCTACATAAGACATCAAGCACTGCTCTTGTGGGAGCAAGTCCGAGGCTATAGGAGAGGGCGTTCTACGAGTGCAGCAGCACGGCCATACTCACTTGAAGATGTCCTTTGGGTCCGGGCCATGTTGCGAGAGCGGCCTCAGAATGTCCGAGGCAGTGTCCTCTTTCCCGGGCTTGTCCTCGCTCGGTTCGGCAGTACTTGCGTCACTCCTCAGCGCTGGGTCATCGTCGAGCGGGTCCAGTCTCAGGTCGTCAAGATGATTGCTAGTGACGGAGCGAGGAGTCGCACTGGATGCCATTGCCTCGCCATCCTCACCACCGGCTGTAGCAGGCATCGCCGACGCCGGTGGCAGATCGTCGATCATGGTCACCTCCAGGCCTTCGTCGTCGAATTCCTCTTCCTCTTCACCGCCACTGCATTCATCATTGTCCTCTGGACTTGCGGCATACGGTGATGGGGGTGTAGTCTCGCTTGTGCTTTCTTCCATTGTCGGTCGCAGTATGGGCTTGGAGTGGCCCTGCCATGCCGACTGCTGTGCTCTCGATCTTGCCTTCGAGCTTGAGGATGGAGAAAAGGAGAGCGAGCGCGGAGGCATGCCATCTTGCGTGCCTTTCGACGCCGACGCCAACTCCTGCGACGAGCCCGGTCTAGGTGTGTGGAAGCCACTGCCGAGGAAATCTCTTGCCTCGTCCGGCGATACACGTTCGTTGACTGTTGCTTCGCCGCGCGTGAACGGCAGCTTCCGGCGGACAGCCGAAGGGTTTCTCTCCGGCGTATCCTGTTCTCCGGGTGCACTCTCCTCCTGCGATTCGGTTCCGTTGCCGCTGTCACGCTGCGTACCGTCGGAACCGGTGCGAACGTGCTGTTTGCTATCTGTAACGATGGTGCGGTACGGGGGCTGCGGAGACTGGGATGGACTGTCGACGGAGCTGCAGATATCCGGTGATAGCTCTCCGCCTCGACGGTGTGCATGCACCGTGGCCGCACGAGCGCGTATCAGGCCGGGTCGGGCACGGTGGCTGTCATCACGGTCGGCCGTCATCAGCGAGAACATACGAATCCGCTGCGAGACTAGCGCGCGGCTACCCCTTAGGCTCGGCGACATTCCACCCGCCGAGAACGTGCTCATGCTCAGGCTGCGGCCGATGACGGACCGCGCCAGCTCCTCCGTTCCCAGCATGTCTTCGTCGTCGTACGCCATGGGCGGTGATGAGGACAATGGCGGTGAGGCGGCGCCCTGTCGTGCATCCGACGACTCAATTCTAGTCAGACCCTCGCCTGTCACCATCAGCTCCTCATCTCCGGACGAGATGCTGATGCCGGACTGAGAGCGCTCCGTGGACGCCGATCCCACCGACGACTCAGAGTTGGATCGGCTGATCGTCGTCAGCGAGTGAAACTGGCAGTGCGTGGACACCCTGTGAACCGCAGCAGCAAACAGACAATTACATGTAGCATGCACACACGCATGCACGCACACGCACACACACACACACACACACACACACACACACACACACACACACACACACACACACACACACACACACACAGAAAACAACACGCTTGACCGATCCACTTTGCCACGTCGACAATATCATAATCTTCCAGCTGCCTTGCTATGTTACCAAAGCCATAGTAAAATGGAAAGCACATTAATGGTTGCCAATACTAGGTGCAGACGGAATGCTGACCATGTACATGGACCATGGAGAAGGAGTATCATGACACAAATACCAGTATGCCTCTTTAGCCAAGTTTAGGAGGGGGCTTGGCTGGGACTGGGATTACTGTGGAACAAGAAGGAGTGTATTTTGGTAGCAAGCGTATGGGGATTTCTTATTTCCCTGGCTGGTGACAAGGGCACCACCTGCCAGCAAAAATGGTTGGACCCTCATCACAGATGTATTGTGATATCTTATTCTTAGGGTGCTGTGTGCTGTGTAACAGTGGCCCCCAGCCCATGGCATGTAACGCACTGCACGCTGTCCAAGAGGTACAATCAAGTACAGTAGTAACTCTTGTGAGGTCTGTATTCGCCACTAAGGTGAACAGGCATAGTGGTGGCCTGCGGATGTGAAGGCTAGTTTTTGTGTTTCTGAACATTCAAGCGGATCCCGAGAATATTATTTACATTAGTAACTAAACTCTCTAGATCTTGGAAACTCCAGTTTGGTCCTCTTCCAAGTGCACTCACTGAACCCAACGCATGGAGTTGTAGTTAGACCTAGGCTGGAGTAGTACTAGGCTACAGTACTCTGAACTAGACTGAAGTAGTAGGAAGCAGATACTGATTGAGTGAACTAATTACTTCATGAAGCACTGAGACAGCGGGCAGGGGCATGATGCTGCACACCACCTAGCTGAATGAATCAACATTCTTTCTTGGTCTGAGTTTGGACTTTGGACACACCATCGTGTAGCAGGAGTCATGATTCTACTGAGTGCCAAATCTGTACCAGTCACACATCTGTGTCATGATATGTACCTGCTCTGTGCATGGTCTGGGGGACAAGGAGAATTATTATGTAAGTTTCCAAAGAAGAAGTAATTCTATTCACTGGTATGTCATCGGAACCCACAAATAGTTAGCACAAAATCATGTTGTCCTTGCTCTCCTGCTTCCCACCTGGAACACATTACATTGTATTCAGTGTGCTTTGTGATACTTCTACTTCTCGGGACAAACGACCTGAACAAGTTTACAACACAAATCACTACCCAGTAATCCTAGCGCTTCACCGCAACACGATCAAGAACGCGAAGCAGCGCACCAGCTTTTGCGATACTACAAGTGCGATGTATGTTCACTCGACCAGAAGCAAATTTCCGACCCAACATCACACTATCAAACGCACGGACGTGGATCCTATCTTCAGATTGTAAACTGCACAAATAATTCATTACTGTCGTAACGAAACACAACTACAAATCCACGCCGGACGCCTACCGCTCGCGAATCATGGCCAGCAGATCTTCGGTCGACATGAACGTGCGGTAAGTACCCAAGAAGGTGATCAGGAACGTCGCGTCGATCTGCCCATGCTCTGGCAGGAGTTCCTTGATGAGCCGCTCCTGTGTGGCCGCTCGCAGCGTTCTCACTTTCTCCGTTTGCCATTGCAGAAATGAGTCGGTTAGGCCCGAGTTGTACGTGACTCGCCGCAATTTGACGCCGAACACTGCGTCTTCCTCCTCCTCCAGGAATATCTACGCATGAAACAGCGGGCAAATAAACACACCGCACACACGCGGCGTGCAGCGCACAAACACACACGCACACACACAAGCACAGTTGAAAGGGCACACTCAGTTGGGTCTACAGCAGTCCCACACCGCACACTCAGGTACGGAACATTGAGAACAACCGCTCTTTCTGGACAAACGCCGCTCTAGGCGCGTAACAGCAACAATGAAAGCGTGTTCTAATTATTTCTGACAGCACACACATCCATGCAGGCCGCCGCGATTCCACAAAGCAAATCTCCCTGGGTCCCAGTCTCTACTAACTGGTATCGCCTTTCCTCTCACCTCAGCGGCGGAAGGCGATTGTGGCATCGGCAACATTTTCCTCTCGCTCCAGTTCGCCACAGCGCGATGCCGGCAGTTCTGTCTCAAGCAAAGAATTTGCAGATCGCTTTGCCATTATCTAGCCCATTGCGGCACCGACGTCGCACGCCTCATCCACTTGCATGCAACCCCTCCACGCGAACCTACTCCGTGATCGCCGAGATGCTGATCCCGATCCAGAGCCAGCTTCACTCACTTTTTACTGAATATTATTTTCTTTCTCTCCCACTGCACTGACTTGACCACCTCGGCCTCTACTCTCCGGCTACCTCAGTACCTGCATCAAAATCTACTCTGTGAAAAAATCACTGGCCTGACGCTACGCAGACACATCTGGATCCACACATGTACGTGGTGTGGTCGTGGACTCGTGGCGTTGCAGTTAGCTCAGCACTCTCACTTGTACTTGCACTCTCATCATCACCCCGTCACTCGACTAGTCGAGTAAGTCCCAAGCGCAAGGCCAAGGCCAAGGCGTAGACCTGGTAGACCATGGTAGACTGTCAACACTGTATCATGGAGTAGGAAGCAGAGTCACTGCCGCTCAGCATGCCATCGTACGCTGACATGACGTGAGCGACTGTACATTGTTCTACCGGTACCGAGACGACAGGCTGCACTCAAACGACGTCGTTCCGTCCACCAGGTCTACTCAGTACTCTAGTCTCTGCTGGATCCAGTCTCCTTTCGTTTCCCCTCTCGACCTGGATGATGAAAATCTACCAAGACAAGTGCCTGTAATGGGTAAGTACTGCAGTACCGTGCTAATTATGTCACAATCGGGTAGTGCCCAACATCCTACACTGTACACAACTCTGCTCGTATGGGCCAGATCTTGCTCTAGATTTTAATTTTTAGTTCTAGAGTTTGAAGTAGACCATGGTAGACATGCCAAGATAAATCGCACGAACGGGTGAGGACTGGCAACATTTCAATGATGTCAAGCCTTCTTCATGGAATCATGGACATGAAATGCACACAAGATTTGAAGCTAGTACAACATGTAGTACTAGTAGTAGTAGATCTACGAGAGCTAGATCTAGAGCTCGTACAAAAATGAAGTCATTGATGATTGAAGAATGCTGCTGCATTAGTTCTGGCACCGCACTGCACTGGCGCATAGCAGCTCAGCTCCGTAAGTCGAGGCTGCATGATTCATGTGCATGTAAAACTGACAGTCTGTGACTGACAGTGACAGTCTGCGAGTGTGTAGTCGAAAACAGACTTGTGACAGCCGTGGTTGGCCCAGCCAGGTAGTTCAGCAGCTCGGGTGACCACCGGATCCGCCGCGCGCGCTGGAGTGCATGTCACTTCCTCTTCAACAGTAAGCTGTTACATGTTCAAGTCACTCGCTGGGGATCTGCGTGATTTGCGAGTGGCACAGGGGCCAGAAACGGAGATCTCTTTTGGGTGCCTTTCTTGCTCGAATGCGACAAAGGCAGATCACGCGTTCATATCACTCAACTTTTTTTTGCATTTCTGGAGTCGAGTCTGTGCTGGTGACTGTGTAGGAAATTATTAAATTTTTAGTTGTTTTCTGGCATACATAGAGGCCAGACTAGGCATAGCCCGATTTTGCTAGCAATTCTGCTAGCAAAATATCGAAGAATTTTGGAAGGGAATTTGCTGGCAAAATGGAGCAAAATATCGGTGTGTTCGCTGTAAGTTGGGAGATTTTACACTTATACGGTGCACATGACTCGTTTTCACACAGTTTTACCAACACGTGACTCACTTTTTCTCGTTTTTGCCAACATGTGACCCACTTTCGGTCAGTTTTCCCACACGTGACACAAATTTTTGGAGCAAAAAAGGGAGCAGAATATCGAGTGGCCTGGCAAAGTGAAAGCAAAATATCGACGATGAGCTAGCAAAATTATGCGGCAAAATATCAAAGCTTCACTGGCAAAATCGTGCTTTGCCTACCCCAGACAGTAGATCCTATATGGTGTTATATATGTAGAACCCAATACTAGTACAATACTAGTACAGTCGGATGTCACTTATCCGACCACTTCGGGAATCAGGCATGTTGGATAACTGAATATATTGGATAGCTGATATCATTTTGTATGTGCATATATGGCTGGATTTCACTGATTAATGTACACAATACCCAAATATATTCATGCATATTCCATGCACGCATACATGTTAGCATACTTGACCACATCTACATGTACTTCAAGTAAATGCATATTACACCGTATAATATACAAAAAAAGGCTCTTTTTATTTATTTTTTAGAATTTTACTGTTGAAAGTCATAAAATTACCACTCCAGGGCTTGTCGGATAACCGACGTGCTCGGATAACCGACGTGCTCGGATAACTGGTGTCTGGATAAGTGACATTCGACTGTATTAGATAACCTTGTATAATATAGTTCACACATCGTGTTAGTTTGACAGCATGAAACCGTAAGGTGGAGGACACTGTGTTCGGAAACAGTGATCTTACTACAACCATCCGCGGTTGGCAGAGCCCCAGTCCGTTGGGACCATCTGAACCATATCATGTGTTGAACCCGGTTCGGACCCTCATTATGCTAGGGGAGTTTTTAGACTTCTCCTCAATACGTCAGTCGTGTATTCTTTGATCACTCCTGGATGTCGTCGTGATAGTCATGCAGCTACTTAAGCCTGAATTGTTTTTCTTTAATCTTTTTTCTTCTGCCCTTGGAGTCCCTCTCTCAGCTCGTCAGCTGTCACCAGCCACTGTCACCACCATGACACTGTCGCGAGAAGGTGCTCTCTAGCTCTGTAGCCTGACGAGGTTGGTGATGTCCCGACTTGGCCAAGATTTAAGAAAAACAATTCAGGTTAAAGTAGCTACATGACTATCAGGACGACATCCAGGAGCGATCAAAGAATGCACGACTGACGTATTGAGGAGAAGTCTAAAAACTACCCTACTGCATAATGAGGGTCAGAACCGGGTTCAACACCCATATGGTTCAAATGGTCCCAAACGGACCGGGGCTCTGCCAACCGTGGATGGTTGTAGTAAGGTCACTGTTTCCGAACACAGTGTCCTCCACCTTGTTTCATGCTAGATCCTACATGTGTTGTAGTATTCGTATGGGGCCGGAGGATACAGTCATGTGCATTTCGTTGCTGCGGTTGTGGACGTATTTCGAGAATACAAGTAGTAACACAAGTCATGTACAGCTGTACATGAGCAGGCCACATGATCATGTTGTCTTGATGTATCATCATGTACATGTACATGTACCACAAAAAAAGTACATAACACTGAGCCATGTACGGTACCAGCATAATAATTTAAAATTAATTATTTTGTTGCGACATGTCACATCATAATTACCATTATTAGTCAATGTGTTACATTGTAACAAATTGAGTAAATTATGCATTCCTCGGGTCTGTCGATCGGACCAACCTGAAGTTTCTTTTTTGGCCGTCTGGAGCTATCCTACCGAGGCTTCAGCTGACAAAATATTGGTGCCATGGAAGGTCGGCAAGGCCTGTTGAAATGCGAAGGAATTGGATGGAATTAGTAAATTATGTGAATGTTGACATCCCGCCCCAGGTTGACCAGCAGTCATCATGTGTATGCCCCTAAAATCGATAACGAATGTTACAAAGTGGTAAGCCTCTACGTTCAGAACTCATGATGATGATACGTGGTTGGGAAATGTCTTTTGTATTCATGTACATTCGGGTATCAGCAGTATTCAACAGCGACTATAGTCGAGGAGCAAGTATGGCCAATAACTCCCATTGTTCTCTCTTTTCGTTCCTGTTGGTCACCTTGGCATTCGTCGACCCCTGCCACTCCTGTTTTGATAGAACGTCTCACGACGATATTATTATTATTATTACTATTATTATTATTATTATACTGATGAGCTTCCGAGGAGGGCGATTGCAGTGAGACGAATTTTGAATAAATTAGCACAATTTCTGAATATTCGCATCTCCTACATGTACATGTATGTCACAGCCGAGATGTGGTCGATTCAAAAGCCGTTTGGCGTTGCAACACTCGAAGAACTGGTGCCTGTACCTTGCCAATGCGTCTTTAGTTT